TACTTTGTTCTTTAATCTATTCTGCCTTCCACTCTATTAAATATCTTCCCTTTTGACCCTGACTCCCAACTCCTTATTTGTACTTTCTTAAAACCCGTCACAGCTCTAGTATTGCAGATGCTGGAAATCTAAAACGAACGCGGAAAGTGCTGGAGAAACTCAACATCTGTGGAGAGAAAAACTTGTTATACTTCAAGTCCATAAGACCATAAGAAATAGGAACAGGAGTAGGCCATTCAGCCCTTAAAGCCTGCTTCGCCATTTAATGGGATTATAGCTGATCCGACATTCCTCATGTCCTCTTTCCTGTCCTTTCCCCATAACTCTTGATTCCCCTATTAATTAAGCTATCTATCTCAGCCTGAAATATACACAAGGACTTTGACTCCACAGTTCTCAATGCCAAGAAGTTCCAAAGAGTCGCAATCCTCTGAGAGAAGAAATTCTTTCTTAGCTCAGTCTTAAATTTATTCTGAAACTATGTCCTCTGGGTCTAAACTCTCCAATATGATTCTTCTTTAGATTGGAAGTCCTCTTCTTCAAAGCGCTTCTTAACATTTCCTGGACTTGAAATGTTAACTCTGTTTCTCTCTCCACACTCGCTGCCAGTCCTGTGAGTTTCTTCAGCATTCTTTGTGTTTGTTTTACATCCCTAATTGATTGTGATTGATTCAGCAGGCATGTTTTGAAAGTTTATTTCTGTTTCTGATTTTCAACAATAATATATTTTAAACAGATAAGAATCGTAATAAAATAAGCTTTGTAATATTGTTGCCATTTCTAAAATTAAAGCCTGCTTTGGTTAATATTCTATGTGAATGTACTTTTTTCCTTGGTGTAAGTACTGGTCCTAATTTTGTTTTAGAATGTCCAATGTTAAAGTTATGAATCAGTTTCCTAATCGAGCTAGTTCTATTTCTTTCCATCTATTTTCCAAGTCAAATAAATTGAGTGACCTATTAACAGCTATTTCACCTGCTACTGCAGCACTTACAGTTCCCTGAGAAGTAGAGGCCTGGATGGAGGTGAATGGCATTAATCAGCTGCTATTTTCTGAGTTAACCTTTGTGCATTGAGACAGCTGTATTGCAGTAAGAAGAATGCCACTCTATTCTATTAACGTTCTTTTCTGAAAGATGCTGTTCAATTTGAAAGGGTTCAGAAAAGATTTACAAGGATGTTGCCACGGTTGCTGGGTTTGAGTTATAGTGGAAGGCTGAATAGGCTGGGGCAAATTTCCTTGGAATGTCCCCGAGGGGCATGGATAGGGTGACTTGTCATCATCTTCTCCGCAGGGTAGGGGAGTCCAAAACTAGTGGGCATAGGTTTAAGGTGAGGGGGGAAAGATTTAAAAAGGACATAAGGGGCAACTTTTTCATGCAGAGGGTGGTGCCTGTATGGAATGAGCTTCCAGAGAAAGTGGTGGATGCTGGTACAATTACAACATTTAAAAGGCATCTGGATGCGTATATGAATAGGAAGGGTTTAGAGGGATATGGGCCAAATGCTGGCAAATGGGACTAGATTAATATAGAGTGTCTGGTTGGCATGGACAAGTTGGACCAAAGGGTCTGTTTCCATGCCGTACATCTCTGTGACTCTCTTTTTTTGTTATAGAGCCACATTATTAGCACTTCACATCAATAAATACAACTTAATGTTTTCTTTACAGTGTAACTTTTTGGTTAAGCAACATTTACATTCAGTTTCTGATCTTGCTTAAGCCACTTTGTAAGGAAAGGTATATTGTTGAACAGTTTAACTGTAGGTACTGGTCTATATTTTGTGAGACCTCTTGTATTTTGTGTCACTCAGGTTCTTAATCATTATAGAGATGCAGTTGTCTTGTTGTTTCCAGTTTGTTTTTTTAATATATTGTTACCTTACACACCATCCTGCTGACCATGCTGAACTTTGAAATTCCATAACTTCAAAATAGTTTTGAAAAGTATCAATCTGTATTCGGATTTCTTACCTTGTGTGTGAAGCTAAACTTGTGGCTGAAGGTGATATTTATATAAAATCTGAGAAAGCTCTTTCAAGTAGTTGTTTGGTGGTATAGAACTTGAGTACTTATGAAAAAGGACACATTTGTCAAAACTTTTCATCTTCCCCTAATCAGGACAATTCACAAGAATACCAGTTCAAAGGGAAACAAACATTTGTACTGCATGAGAATGCTGATTGGTTAGCAAGTGGAGTCCAATTGGTAGAGATGCTGTTATGGAGATTGCATCAGTAATGATGGATGGCAGTTAACAGTCAGGTTTTGTTTAAATTTTAAACTAGGCAGGTTGACTCTGACTGGTTAGGGCATTAGTCTGAGAAATGAACCATTGAATGACTGGCATCTATTCTGTTGAATTGAAGCAACACAGTGCATGTCCATTTCCTTTCTATTTGTAAAGAATAGGACATCCCATTACTGCGCCGAGAACACATCTAAAATGAAACTGAAAACCATGTCTGCTCCCTTCTTAATGTCACAATAAAGAAACACCATTAAAACTTAAAGTGATACATTATTCCTCCATTTTAGAACCAAACTTTCTGAACAATAACAAGATAGTATGAACCTTCATTGCATTCCTGAGCCATTTTCTTGGCGGAGCAAGGAGGCAGTCTCTAAGGGCTATATGACCAGTGAGATGACCATGATGACTCCTCAACATTACCTTCAAACACATAATGTGATGCTTCTTCATCTTTGCTTAAGTTAGAAATTCTCCACACAATTAAAATGAATACAAACAAGAATGCTTCAACTAAGTCGATAAAATGTAGAGCTGGAGGAGCACAGCAGGTCAGACAGCATCAGAGGAGCAGGAAAGTTGATGTTTCAGGTCTGGACCCTTCATCAGGACTTTCAGCATCTGCAGTCCTTGCTATCTCCTAGTTGCTTCAACTAAGCACAGTCTGTAACTGCTGGTTGTACACCTCACCAATAGCTAGCATAAATGCCAATTTTGTCAGTGGAATAGATTCCAATTACATTGTAAACATTATGTAACATTATGGGGTCTACTTGTGGTGCAATGGTAGTGGCTAAACCCATGAGCCAGGAGGCCCAGGTTCAATTTCCCCCCTGCTCCAGAGGTATGTAATAACATCTCTAAATAGGTTAAATTAAAAAATAATCATTCTAACAATATCACTCACATTTGAACAATTCTTACATTCCTGAAATAGAGTGTGTGTTAAATATACACATAGTCCCAATACTGAATCCTGGGGAACTCTGGTACAAACCTCCCTGCAGTTTGTAAAATATCCATTTGCCAACACTTTCAGTTTTCAAGCCTTCAGCCAAGGGAAGCAGATTTCCTTACCAATAGGAATTTACCGAAGCAGTTTGTTTTTAACAACAAATGATGATAGTTTCATGTTAACCATTACTGATTCTAGCTTTTAATTCAAAGTTTATTATTTGAATTTTTAAAAAATTAAGCAGAAGTCATGGTGGGATTTAAACCCATGCCCCAGAGCATTAACCTAGGCCTCTAGATTATTAGTGTCATTAACACTACACCATTTACATTACTCATAAGAGAGATAGAAAACAGAAACAGAAGTAGGCAATTCAGCCCTTCAAGCCTGCTCCAACATTCAATATAATCATTGCTTATCATCCAGCTCAGTCCCATTTCCACTTTCTCTCCATATTCTTTGGTCCCTTTAGTCCTCAGAGCTATATCTGTAACCTTCTTGAAGGCATTAAATGTTTTAGCCACAAATGCTTTCTCAAGCAGAATATTCCAAAAACATATTACCTTCTTGATGAAGAAATTTCTCAACATCTCAGTCCTAAATGACCTTCCCCATATCCTTAAATTCTGATCTCTGGTTCTGGAGTCTGCGGTAATTGGAAACATCTTTCTAGCATTTACCTCATCTAGTCCAGTTAGAATTTTATACATTTCTGTGAGACTTTACCCCTTCATTATTCTAAACTTCAGTGAACATAGTCCTAACCGATCTAGTCTCTCTTTATGTCAGTTTGCCATCCCAGGAATCAGTCATTGTTTCACAACCTCCATAGCCAAAACATCCTTCCTCAGATAAGGAGACCAAAACCATACAAAATACTCCCAAGTGTGGGAGTTTTGAAGAAGGTTCACTGATCCTGAAATGTAAATCCTAAAATGTAAATGTATTTTCTGAAGAAGGGTCTCGACCCGAAACGTCAGCCTTCCTGCTCCTCTGATGCTGCTTGGCCTGCTGTGTTCATTCAGCTCTACACCTTGTTATCTCAGATTCTCCAGCATCGGCAGTTCCTACTATCTCTGAAATGTAAAGTCTGCTTTCTCTCCACAGATGCTGCCAGACCTGCCGAGTTTCTCCAGCAATTTCTGTTTGTTTCAGATCTCCAGCATCTGCACTTCTTTGTTTCATAATTATATCCCTGTTCCTGCACTTCAATCCTTTCACTATGAAGGCCTATATATCATTTGCCCCCCCAAAAAAACAGAAATACCCGGAGAAATTCAGCAGGTCTGTCAGTGTCTGTGGAGAGAAGGCAGACTTAATATTTCAGGTCGAGTGACCCTTCTTCAAACTATGAACAGGTGGTAGGAGTGAATGATAGGTGGAGAGTAGGCTGAGATGGATAATGGTAAGCCAGAAAGGCTGATCGTGGGGACCAGATGAAGGTGAAAATGGGTTTAAAGCTGTGCTGAAAGCAGTCACGATCAAACACACAGAAATTGCTGGAGAAGCTTAGCAGGTCTGGCAGTTATCTGTGTAGAGAGACAGAGAGAGAGTCAAAACTTCTTCAGAATGTGCCATGCTCATTTGCCTTTTGCACCTGTATGTTTCCTCGAAGCTCGTTTCATTTCTATACGTCTTTATTTCTAGGACAGTGTGTATACGTGGAGACATATAACCTGCTCAGGAGCGAAGACTGATCTTAGCACCTTCACTCCCACCAGCTCTGGAGGGCGTGTCTTCCAGGTGGGCCGGCGCGGTGTCCGCCGGGAGTTGTAGTCCTCACGGCCGCAACGCGTACGGGCGGGTGCACGGTCTGAACTACAGCTCCCAGAGGCCGTCATGCCGCCCGGGCATGCGTAGACCGCCCTCGCTGTAGCCTGTTGTAGAAGTTGCGTCAGCTGCAGGATACAATTTTGGTGAAAGTTATATTTCTATTTTTTTTAAAAAATATAACGTTTCGATTTTGAAGCAGTCGAGTTATTTCAAGAGTGCGACAATTCACCAAGCGTGTGTTATATTTGTTGGAATCAGTGAATTTGGAGAAAGTGCCTGTGGAACGGGGAGAAGAAAGTTTTTGAAACTTTTCTGAAGTTTGTTGCAGAGTTTCCCCGATCAATGACCGAGTGTGAATGAGCAGCTTGCCCTGCAGCCTCAGCGGCTCCTGTCACTGCGATGTCCCTGGACAGAGGCGATCCCGCTGCCGCTGCCGCCTTGGAGCCGGGGCCTCCCGGAGACCTCCGCAAATGGAGCGAGTTAGTCCGCAGCCGGGAAGAGGACAGCCGGGTGGCGGCGATGGAGCGAGCGGCCCACACCGTGCACGCCTGCCTTGACCAGCAACAGCTAAGGAAAGCGGCGAGGAGCCAGCTCCAGCAACTGCTTCTGCTCCTGCTCCGGCTCTCCCGGAGCTGCCCCTTCCTCGATGTGCAGGAGAGGAGCGAACACATCCTGCAGACCGTGCTGGTGAGTACAGCTCCAGGCAGCCCTTTCCTACAGAGCGGCTCCACTGCACCTCCAATACCTCTCGCCTACACCGCCTTATCTGCCTCTCTCTTTAACTCTGCACCCCCCCCGCCCCCATCTCTCTGTCTCTCTCTCTCCCTCTCTCCATCTTTCTCTCCATCTCTCTCTCTCTTTCTCCATCTTTCCATCTCTCTCTTTCTTTCTCCATCTCTCCCTCTCTCCTTCTCCCTCTCTCCTTCTCCCTCTCTCCTTCTCCATCTTTCTCTCCATCTCTCTCTCTCTCTCTCCATCTCTCTCTCTCTCCATCTTTCTCTCTCTCCATCTCTCCCTCCTTCTCTCCATCCCTCTCTCCTCATCCCGCTGTCTATATACATATAGTCGTCTCTGAGTCGCCTGAATGTGAGACCGATTCATTTTGCTGCTGCAATCTGCTGTTTAAAGGGACGTCTAGATTTCCACATTAGTGGGGTCACGCCCACCTCTGTTTACAAAGTCGATCGCAAAGTGCCTTTTGCTTTCGTCTTTTTCCAGATGTTTGCTGCTGAGTGTTGGGAGTTTATCAGGGCGATTTCTCTGTTAAATTGTTGGACGGAGAGTTTTACCATATTTACGTATGACTGAGGGGACGGGGGCAGGGTGGAGGGAAACTGATTGTTACATGACTTTTGAGTTTGACCTTGTATCCAATGTGCCTGATCAAATGGCGACGATCCTCTTCCTATAATGAAGGCAGTACGGAGGCTGGATTTTCAAAAATCTGCCAGCTCTTGTTTTTACTGGCCTGTTTCTCCTCGCTTTTCGGTCATGGTTCAATTCAGTCATGCTAGGATAGTGAGCTTGATCCCTGTGATAATTAAAACAAGTTTACAAAAAAGGCAAGTGGAACTTGAAACTAATTACAACTGTGGCACTGAAAGTGTTCCAGAAATACAGTGTACGTGCATCGCAGGTTTGTGATTTTGGGTATCCTTGGAGCTATTTATCCTATTAAAGGAAAAACCTTATCAATTGCATTTCCTTGAGTTTTGACAAGAGGCCTCTTGACTTAAATCAGGACAACAACTTAATGCTTTTAGTGTAGTGATGCAACCTGAGGCCATTTTAAGAGCACTAGAAATCAAAATTACATACCACGACAGGAAAGTTATTAGGGCAGATAGCCAAAAACCTGATGGAACTAGTAGAGTTTCAAAGGAGGAGACAGAGAGCTTGAGAAGGGAATTCCAGAATTTTGGGACTTGGCAGCTGAAGGCACGGCCGCCAGGTGACAGAACAATGAAAGTCGGGGATGTTGGTGCAGAGCTGATGGGACAAAGCCCCTTTTATCTGTGCTGTAGAACCTCTATGACTCTTTGACATGGGGAATTGCAATATCGTGAGGATTGTTGGCTGGAGGGACACTGCCGAGGTGGAGTTTGAGATGAGTGAGAATTTTAAAATCAACACTTTGCTTGACTGGGTGTCAGTGCACAGGGTTGATGGGTGACTGGGACTTGGTGCGAAAGAATCTGGCTTTATGTGGCTTCAGGCTGACAGAGGGTAAGACATAAGAGGCTGACAAGGAGTGTGTTGTAAGCTTGTAATTTAAAAAGCCACCCTCAAGGTTTTGGCAGGGTAGAGGTCCCTTGGTAGCTACTTTTGTGGACAGATGAGGTAATAACAGCTGGCAACAAGCACTGTGCAGTCTTCCTGTTATGTTATCAAATTCGGCACACAATTATCGATACAGAATACTAATGCCTATGGGGTGGAACTACTCGCCTCAGACATATAAAAGGCCTACCCCTTGGTGAATTCAGGTGTTCTAGAACATTCTGATAAAGATGTGCAAAGACCAACCTTTTTGTAACCAACACTATTGAATTTCCACATATAACTTGCTAGAATTAGCATTTTATTTGGATCAGATATTTATAGATCTGTCTGGTACAATCTATTCTGGCCTTTAATAGAATAATGTGTTTAATAACGCAATATTCTCCCTGTGAATGGATTTTGCAGCAGTGGACTTTATAGAGTCATAGAGTTGTACAGCATGGAAACAGACCATTCAGTCCATGCCAACCAGATACTCTAAACTGATCTAGTCCCACTTGCCAGCATTTGGCCCATATTTCGCTAAAACCTTCCTATTCATATACCCATCCAGATGCCTTTTTAATGTTGTAATTGTACCAGCCTCCACCACTTCCTCTGGCAGCTCAGTCCATACACACACAATCCTCTGTGTGAAAAGGTTGCCCCTCAGGTCCCTTTTAAAGCTTTCCCCTCTCACCTTGAACCTATGCCTTCTAATTTTGGACTTCCTTACCTTGGGAAAAGAATCTTGGCTATTTGCCCTATGATTTTATAAACTTCTATAAGGTCACCCCTCAGCCCCCAATGTTCCAGGGAAAATAGCCCCAGCCTATTCAGCCTCTCCCTACAGCTCAAACATTCTAATGGTGCCAACATCCTTGTAAATCTTTTCTGAACCCCTTCAAGTTTAACAACATATTTCCTATAGCAGGGAGACCAGAATTGATTGCAGTATTCTAGAAGTGATGTAACCAATATCCTGTACAACCACAACATGTCATCCCAACTCCTGAACTTGGTGTTCTGATAGATGAAGGCGAGTGTGCCAAACACCTTCTTCACTGCCCTGTCTACCTGCGACTCCACTTTCAAGGAACTATGCACTTCCACCCCTAGGCCTCTTTGTTCGCTTCATTCCCCAGGGCCCTACCATTAACTATATAAGCTCTGGTGTGCCTTACCAAATGCAACACCTCACATTTAATCTAAATTAAACTCCTCGGCCCATGTGATCAAGGTCCTGTTGTTCCCTGAGATAACCACCTTCACTGTCCACTACACCACCAATTTTGATGTCAGTTGGAAACTTACCTTCATTCCATCGACTGGAGGGTAATGGGCAAGGACTGTTGAAATGCTAATCACTGCCATACAATGGTATTCTGCTATTTCTTCCCTAGAATGTGTTTCTACCATCAAACTGCCGCCCTCTGTTTATCTCCCTTGCTCACCTGCTGGTTCTGGGGAAACGATGTTCACACAGTGATAAGGCAGTGTAACCTTTTCTGTGGGTGTACAAAGTAAAGTCAGGATGTAGGGCTGCTCTCTCATCAGATAGAGATGACTGGTGGTGGTTTAACCTGAGGGTCACTACACCTCAGGTGAGGGTTAGAGGTTAAGAAGGAGATTGCTGGCACAGGACTTGAACCCACACTGATGGTGTCATTCTACATTGCAAACCAGCAATTCAGCCAACTGCGCTAACTAACCACCTATGTAGGTGTGATTAAATACTGACAGAGTAAACAGCAATAAAATACGGCTCAGTTCACTCAGTCTTATCTTCAGTCAAATCAAAATCATGAACTAAAATTTTATCCTATTACCTCCACTACTCCCATCCACCATCATAGCCCAGATGGATTTGGGGCTGATCGTAATGGATGTCCTAATTGGGATTGAATGCTAGTGAAATGATGATGATAGTAGTCCTCTTTATCTGTGGGCATGCAGATGTCAACTTATTGAATGAATAGCTCCAGGTTGTACAGGAAGTAGGAGTAGGAAAGTGGACATTAGGTTGCTTGGGTTTTTAATGTCAATTTAACTCCCTTCCCACAGTAGACTATCTTACAGGAATTTAAAGATAACAGTTTTTTTTATTTGAATTTGTAAATGCTATAGAGGGATTGTTTAGAATTTTGAAACACTGAATCCTGGTGGTTTGATCGGAACTGGAGTTAGTTTTACATTTGACAGTGAGTGGTCATTAATAAGAACAGAATATGCTGGAGAAATCCAGCAGGTCTGGCTTCTTTAGACTTGAAACATTAGCTCTGTATCTCTCTCCACAGAGACTGCCAGACCTGTTGCATTTTCCCCAGATTTGTCTGTTTTTATTTCAGATTTCCAGCATCTGCAGCAATTTTTTTTTTATGTGATTGATCATTACTGCTTAAAGAAGAGAACTGCTTCTAAATTATTTGCCAGTTCATACCTGTAGTCATTGAAGGAGATCTGGGCCAATGACTGATAACTGTTGTTTTATCATCCGCCTTTTTAAATTTTATTCATGTGATGCAGGTGACCCTGGCTAGACTAGCATTTATTACCGATCCCTAATTTCCCAGAGGGCAGTTAAGCGTCAAACTCATTTCTGTGGTTCTGGAGTCAGATCAAGTAAGGATGGCTGTTTTCTTCCCTAAAAGGACATTAGTAAACCAGATGGGGTTTTCCTGACAACGAAAATATGGTCATTATTAGACTCTTAATTCCAGATTTTTATTGAATTAAAATTCCACCACCTGCCATGGTGGGACTTGGACCCAATTCCCAGAGCATTACCTGGGTCTGTAGATTAAAAGTCTAGCTATAATACCATTGGGCCAGGCATAGCAGAAAAAAGGGAATTATCCAGTCTGGCTGGACCTGGGTTATAGTTAGTTATTCAAGTTATCTGCCTTGACTCAGAAGGCCATGAGTTGAAACCCCACTCTAGAATTTAGCGCATTAGCCAGGCTGATGTTTCAATACTGCTGTATCTGAGATGCCATCGGTTAAGGTGGAACAAGATGTTAACGCAAGGACTTGCTTACTCCCTCCGATGGAACTGGAAGAACCTGAGGCACCATTCGAAGAAGGATGTTTGTATTTCCTCTGCTGGGAAACATCCATTCATGACAGGCTATCAGGCATGAACCACGTTTTTCTTGACAGAACCTTGCTATATGCAAATTGACTGGCATGCTTTTCGACATTGCAAGAGTAAGTTTAGTTAAAGCGCTCGATTAATCTGTGCAGGGCTTTCAGATAGCGCTGTTTCCATTCACAGGGCATCTAAATACATATTGTGTATTTTATCCTGATTTGAGTAAAGTAAAGCCTTGGCTTGGAAGATGACAAATTAGCCTAGGTTCTTGTTCACATGTGTCTGGCTTGGTATCGCTGTCATGCCTTTTGTGACTTGGGACATCCTGAAGTAT